CAAAGAAGCAAACCAAGAAACAGACCCTTAACTAGAGAGAACAAACTGATGGTCACCAGAGGGGAAGCAGGTGGGGAGATGGGTGAAATAGGCGATGGGGATTAAAGAGCACACTTGTTGTGCTGAGCACTAATGTATAGAATTGTTCAACCACTCTATTGTACACCTGAAACTAATAAAACACTGTATGGTAAGTAAACTGGAATTAAAATTAAAACCTTAAAAAAATCACTAGAAGAACCCTATGTTTGGAAATATTAAATATATATAACACATCATCGTGGATATTAAAAATATTTAGAACTAAATAATAATGGAAATATTACATACTAAGAACTGTGAGACATAGGTAAATTGCGCTGAGAAGGGAATTCATAAATTTAATTGTTACATTAACAAAGACAGCTCATGAAGTGTGCAAGACTGTTGAATCACAGATCTGTACTTCTGAAACAAATAACGCTACATATTTTAAGAAAAAAGGAAAAGAAGAAGATAACAGGAGAGGAAGAAAAGGGGAGTATGTCAGAGGGGGAGACGAACCATGAGAGATGATGGACTCTGAAAAACAAACTGAGGGTTCTAGAGGGGAGGGGGGTGGGGGGATGGGTTAGCCTGGTGATGGGTATTGAGGAGGGCACATTCTGCATGGAGCACTGGGTGTTATGAACAAACAATGAATCATGGAACACTGCATCAAAAACTAATGATGTAATATATGGTGATTAACATAACAATAAAAAATTAAAAAAAAACAAAACAAAGACAGCTCAAAGTGAAGAAGCAAAGTATCAATCTTAACGTTTCCAAGAAGAAAAAAATAAATCCAAGGGAACAGATAGACATAATAAACAGAAAAGAAATTATTGAAATAGAAATTAAATTATAATAAAGAGGATCAATGAGTTTATAAGATGGTTCTTTGTAAATCTCTGGCAAGATTAATCAAAGTAGTCAGAAAGCATGAATAGAAATGAGAAGAGGGACATAATCATAGATTCTGGGGAGAGTAAACAGATAAGATAATATTATAAATTTTATGACAATAATTTAAAGATTTACATGAAGTGGATATATTCCTAGACAACTATGACTTAATAGGAACAGAAAACCTTAATATCCCTATAACCGTTAGAAAAATTTTAAGTAAAAATCTCATCAGAAAGAAAACACCAAGCCCAGATGTTCAACAGGAGATTTAAATCAAATCTTCAAGGATCAGAGAATTCCAATCTTACACTAAATCTTCCAGCGAATAAACAGGAAGGATTACTTCCTAACTCATTTTATGAAACTAGCAAAACCACAGAGCAAGATCAGAGAAAGTACAAGAAAAGTGAAGGCCAATCCCAGTCTCAAACAGAGACACGTCAACAATAAACATATTTGAAAACAAAAATCAATCAGTGGATACTGGGAAAGATAATACTTTGTGTTGGGCTTTTGGACTTTTCTCAGTAACACTCAGTTGGCTTAATATTAGAAACCAGTATATTCACCACTTTAACATTTCGATGGAAAAAAACAGAATTATCTTAACGGAGTTAGAAAAAGCACTTCATAAAATGTTATCTCCGTTTATGTTAAATCCCCTTAACAAATTAGGAATAGAAGGGAATTTCTTTAGGGGCCCCTCGTTGGAAGAACATGTGACTCTTGATCTCAGGGGTCATGAGTTCGAGGCCCACATTGGTGTAGAGATTACTAAAAATAAATAAACTTTAAAAAAAAAAAGGGAAATTCTTTAATTCCGTAAATGGAATCCACAAAAACTCACAGCAAGGGTTGCCTGGTGGCTCAGTCAGTTAAGCATCCGACTCTTGATTTTGGTTCAGGTCATGATCTCAGTGTCCTGGGGTCGAGCCCCACATTGGGCTCCGTGCTCAGTATGGAGTCTGCTTCTCCCTCTCCTTCTGCTCCTCCCCCTGCTCTCTCTCTCTCAAATAAATATATAAAATCTTAAAAAAACTAATAAAACCTCACAGCAAATATTATGCTTAGTGGTGAAATGTTGTAGCATTTCCCTTTAAGATCGGACAAGATAAGGCTACCTGTCATTACCACTTTATTCAACACCAAACCTCAATTTCTAGCCAGGGTGGCAAGAAAAAAAAAGTGATAAAATGCATTTAAAAAACAACAACACTGAGAAGGAATAAATAAAACTATTATAAATTTGTAGATGACTATGTAACAGCAAATCCAGAAGAGCGCACAGCTAAGTTATTGCGATAAGTTAATTTAGCAGAGATACTTGATACAAAATCAATAAGCAGAAATCAATTCCATTTCCACAGAAAATAAGATTTTAAAATATCGTTTATACTAGAAGCCCGAAATTAAAATGCCTAGGAATGAATCTTAAAGACATGAGACTTATTTTAAAGGTAAGGATTACAAAATGTCACTGAAAGACATTAAAGGCATACAGAAATGGAAAGATGGAAGTGTTCTTGGGCAGGAACACTCAGTGTGTAACGATGACCCATTGTCCTCAGATTGAACTATAGTCACTGCAAATATAACCAAAATCCCAACACATCTCTTCTCCTACAAATGGATTTTTAAATTTATGTAAAAGAGTAAGAGCCAAGAATCCTGGAGACAGTCTTAATGACAATGAACAAGGCGGGGACTTGCCCTGCCAGATATTGAGAATTAGGGCAAAACTAGAGTAATTAGGACTCTGTCATACAATGCAACAGCAGACAAGGGGCTACTGAATGCAAAAGATAAAACCACAAATCTTTTAGGAGAGCATCATTTGGCTCTCAGGGTGGAAAGGGATTTATTTGACAAGACAAAAGAATGCAACAAAAAAGATGAACACATTGGGCTACGTGATGATGCAAACATACTGTAAATGCAGTGGGAAGTCAGGCCACACAATGCGAGACTGTATTCGCAATATATACAACTAGCACAGGACTGACCCAGGATATATCAAATATCAAAAAGAAAAGATTCTAAATATCATAAAGAAAAAACGAAGTCCGCTAAAAAGTGGGCAAGAGCTTCTTTGTATGCGCAAAGAAGGGGCAACACAGAAACCCACCAGAAACATAAAAAGATGAGCCACTTTATTCATGATCAGAGGAATGTCAAATACCGACCACAGTGAGACACCACTACACTGACAACACTGGAAGGCACCTGAGAGGAATCCCATCATTGTCTCCACTCAGGGATAAGGAAGTAGTGTCAAAGGACAAGAACTCTGTGTTTCTCCTGTTACACTGACCAGGAGATCCTATGAAGCCGTACCTGGTAGAGGCACCTGGCCACTGCCATCACTATGTCCTGTATCAGCCATGTACTCTGATGCTGGCCTCTGGGGTCTTACCCCACCTGGAGAGGGGGCAGTCCCCCAACCAGCCTCTCCCAGGGCTGGCTGACCTGTTCCTAGAGGCGCTAAGGGACTTGCCTTTGAGCATGCCTTTCCTATGCAAACTAATCAAACCAGAGTCCATGTCTCTAACCACCTCCTCCATCTGGCTCTCACACTCCAGACCACTATCCACCTGCTCTAATCACTCCAGGGCCAGGAACCAAAAACCTAGAGACAGTCCCTCTGGCCCCAGAGCCTGCTGAAATCATTCAAGAGAGTCCACCCTCATCCGGCTGACCCTGTCTTGACAATTCTGTTCCATGGAAACCACAATGAAGCCTCCTGCCCATGTTTTCTGTTTTCCCTTTGTTCCCTCTGCCTGACTGACCCTAGTGCCTCCCCGTGTGGCCCCAGGGGACATGGTGTGTCTTGTCGTCTTAGAATCTATGAGTGCAACCAATGACCTTTCCAATGGCAGTCATTTTCCACTGAGTCTTGGTTGGCCCTGCCACATGTAAATAATAATAAGACCTACATTTTGCAACATGCCTGCGTGTCCTTGGATGGCCAGACCTATCAGCGGAGGTGGACCAGGGAGCAGCTATGTTCGGAGACATCTCTGCTTCCGCCCCACCTCCTCCCAGCGCTTCCCTTTCTTGCCTCTCAGTTCCTCAGTGAGCCAAAGTTCTTGTGAATGTGGAAAACTGGCCCCTTCGTCCAGAACACCTGGAAAATCCACTTAAAACATCCCACATCTCCCGGACTTTCCTAGAGCAGGAGGACCATTATCCTCACAAAGTCTCTTAAATTCATTGGCAAATAGCTGCACCCTTGATGGGGGTGGGGGGGCATTTCCTCTCTGCTCCCAGGGCTAGATCAGTGAGCAGGGTAGTGGTAGCATTAAGCAAGACCACCCCCAACTCAAGGAAGGGGTCAGGTTGGCTCTCCTGGGCACAGCTGACACCCAAAGGCCGAGGGCTACACAGAGGGACTGTGACGCCCCTCCCCCGCAGGCTTCCAGGTGGGGGTGGTGGTTGAGATTCTGACAGTGGCAGATTTGTGGGGCGAGGCAAAGGTGACATGACTGGGGGACCGTGCACCAACCCATTTACCCAGAGGCCGATGTCCTGGCTGGGAGAGCCTGGCACTGGACAGTCGAGGTGCACAGGGGAACAGATCATTGCAGATCCAGTCTGCCCCATGGCTAGGATGGCACACACGGGCATCGGGCAGGTGGGGATCTAGTGACTTGCACATGGCACAGCTGGATCATCTGAGACAAGGAGTAAGCGGTAGAAATAAGATGGAAGAGGCCCATCAGACCCCCTTTAAGCCACTTCCCAGGCTTAAAGAGATTTCACAGTCAGAGTGTTTTGCAAAGGGAGCTCGGATCTGCTATTATCGCAGAGAACATTATTCACCACCTACTGAGTGCTTTTCACACGTGGGGCACCAAATGGAAAATAAAACAAAAAGAGACCCCCGTCTGGTGAACCGAGGGAAGGGCAGAACTAAAGTTATCACCGGTGTCCAAGGGCCTGGAGCCTTAGCCAGCTGTTTTCACTTTGAATTGAACCAATGAACCCAACATCGGGGTAAATATGAAGAAGATGACAAACATGGCGTCCCCAACGGCCTGGGAGGCTGGAAGAAACTAGAACAACGGTATTACCTGTTGGTGACATAGTCAACGAGATGCTGTTTGAACGTGAGGCTCCACCTCTTAATTAGATTCAGCAGAGACGCTTTCAGGGGTCGGAGGTCAATTTTCATCCAGCCGTCGAACACCTTGATGGGCTCCAGCCTACACACTTCTCCGTAGAGGCTCTCGTAAAAGTCGATCTGTGCTTTAAACTGATGGAGAAGGGGAGGATGATTCTCTGGAATGCCATCTTCTGTGTGGGCTTCCATCTCCCCGGGGGTGAGCACACGCCCGTAGGACAGAAACTGGCTCAGGATCTCCCTCCGGTCTTCCACGTAGAGGTAGGAATACTGGCTGAAGGCATTCCGATAGCCACAGCAGAGGGCCATCATGCTCTGAACCCTGTCCAGGAGCGTGCTCCTCATGCTTGCCAAAGGGGCCATGCTCTCCACGTCCACCTGGGGGAGGGGCGAGGCGACAGCAGGCTGGTTATGGCCACGCTTTGCAAGAAATTTGCAGATTGGGCTGGAAGGCAGGGTGGTCGCTGATTCAGTACCTGGTAGTGGGGAGAGCCGTTCTGGGGGGAAAGCCGTGGCACCAGAGACGATATTCCAAAAATGCTGGTGACCAGACCCTCAACAGCGTCATAGAAGCCACCCTTCACTCCATACTCCAGGGGCGGAGAGAAAACTAATTCTGGTATGGCTAAGCTCAGCTGGGCTTCAAATATCGGGGTGAGGCCTGCCTTACATTCTGAAAAACAAGGAAAGCACGTACGCACCAAACAAAGAAGAATGGTTAAAATGGGCGAAGGGCAGCCGCCATTTTTTTAAGGCGCTCAGAACATTTCTTTCCTTGCTATCACCTGTTTGGGTAGAGGAAAATGGAAATGTAAAATTTGCTAACTCTTGCCCTCCCCCTCCCCGAAAAGGTGAAGGTAACAGTCTTGCCATGTTTACCAACAGGGGAACCACTGACATTTTGAATAGGTCAATTCTTGCGCTGGGCTGTGCTGGGCATTGCAGGACATTTACCCTCCTGTCCTTGGAGGGCACATCCCAGTGACTGAACAACCCAAGCCATTCCCATTCCATATTCCCAAATGCCTGGGTCGGGGGAGCGAGGTGGGCCAAATGGCCTCGAGTTGTGAGAACAGGTTGGTTTTGTAAAGCTCGTTTCTCCGAAGCAGCTGATTATTCCCTAAGCACAACCCATGCAATCCCATCGGTAGCCACTAGGTGCACTGTGGCGCGCTTGTCAGTAGTTGGGTTGGCAGGAAAAACAAGGTTACCGCCCTGCCGGTTCTGATCTTTTCCCACGAAAACAGAACTTCTTTTAATTCTGTAGTCCTAGAGTGATAAAAAATTTAAAAACGGCATAAATAATTAACAGGTCCCTGATTCCTTGCTAGACTAACTTGCCTTGCTAAATTTAAATCAAAATATAACAGGGAGCAAGATGTTGCAAGTACAAGATTAGTGCTTAAACTTTTATTAATAACCGCTTATATTCGTCGGTCTCCTTGACTGTGGAAATATTTGGGAGACCGTGATGTGCTGGCTGCTGTGGGTGGTGGAAACCCCTCGGAATCCGTTACCCCCTTCCTCCCCAGAAGCAGAGATAAGAGTGGGTATGTGCTGCATTTCCCAGCCCTGTTTGCAGTCAGGTTGGCAATAGGCCTGGCTCACTGGTGGGACATGGAGAAGGGTGATGGCTGCCACTTCTGGGCTGTGGCCCTGGAGGCAGCAGGGAAGCCATCCCTACACCTGCTCTTTTCCCCGCTCATGGACAAGAGCCAGGATGTGGCGGTGACCCAGCTCAACCACAGAAATGAGAGCAAGGCCCTAGAACGTGGTGGAACCACCTGTCCACTAACCGGAAGCACTCCCCTCAGTCTAGAACTTGGGGGCTAGACCTCTTTGTCCTGTAAAGCCACATTACTGATGGAGTTTTGGTTACCATAGCTTCGTCATTCACCCCAACTGTGATAACTGTGGGATCCTCAAAGCTATGGAAGACCAGGGCCTTGCCTTCAAAATTGTGGGGCTGATAAATTTGTATTACTGGATTCAGGAGCAACCCATCAAATGCATATTTGACTTAAGGGAATGCACAGAAATTACCCTACTATCATGGAATAGTTTTTTAAAATGCCTATAATATGATTTGCATACATATTCATGATATACCCTGCATTACTATATGTATGAGATACTGATAATTTAATAGATCGGGTTACATACAGTTTATAGGATGTAAAAGAATCATGAGACCATTTTGACTCCATGAGATTTCAGTCCCGTGTGCTGCTGTGGGAACCGACTGCCTAGGTTTGATGCAATGACATCATCATTGCCATACAAGCCAGACTATCTTCAGGGTTCTACCACCTTGGTACAAGTTAGTCACTTTAGGAGTTAAGAAGGGGAAGAGCATTCCTGGACAGAGTGGGTAGCATCGAACCTAGGCAGGGCTTACATTGTAAGAGGTGACAGGGAGTCCAGCCCAAGCCGTGGGAATGGTGTCGGCCTCACCGAGCACAGGAAGGTGGAAATGCTGAAGGAGAGCTGGGAGAATAACGCTGTCCAGCTAGGCTACTGCAAAGGGTCACTGTGCTTTTCTTCTCAGAGGCTACCCTTCTTAGGGTCCCTCTCCTCCCCTCTTAGAGAACCAGTGCCTTCAAAATTTCATCTAGAGCTCCTTGGTTCAGGCACCTGCGAAGTCCAGCTCCTGCCCGTTCTATATCGTGAAGAAAGTACATTTCTCCTTCCCGACTGTTCCACGGAAAGAAGGTCACTATGGCAATCCTGAAGGACCACCATCATGTTCTCTCTACCCTCCTGCTCCCCCTCTCGCTCTCCCACAGGAGGACGACAAGGGACACCCCAGACAGCCCAGCTCAGGAGAGCTGGATAGGCATCGGTCAAGCATGGAGTCACTATGCTTAGGAAATATTTCCCATGCAGTGCCTGTGCCAAGTGTGCTGGGGCAAATTCTAGGATCTTCTAGAGGATGGCTGAGGCCCCATGAACCTCTAACACTAGACAAGGTTTGGTTGGTCCACTAAGGTGAACACTGTTGGTCCCTAGGAGCCAGTTCTCCAGTCTCAGAGGCTGTGCTCGGTGCCCCCACTGGCTACTTGCCCCCAGGCTCTAGAAGGTGATGCCCCCACCATGCCAACTATCCTGGAACCTGTTTCCTGATGCCCAATCTCCTTGATTTGGAGCACCCTGCAAACAAAAAGCATGTCTCTGACCTCAGTCACTCCACCTACCAAGACCATGGGAAGTTTGCCCATCTGCGCTACACCCAGTGCTGGGCCTTGCTTCCCCCTGTATCATCAGCCCAGTATTCTCATGCCCTCTTGTTTGGGCTGGGTATCTAGACATGGAACTTGACCTAACCATCTTACCACTGGATTTTCTTTCTTTCCTTGGGTTGGACTTGACATCTTAAACTCTCTCTTAAACATCTTCATCCTCTGGCGTCAAACTATTCACCTCAGCCTTTCCATTCTGATGAATTCATCAAGGGGACCCTTACCAAGTTCCTCAGAATCTACCAGAACGTGAAGGTTTAATTCAATATTTTCCTGCACTCTTCCTCTCTTTCCATCCCACCACTTACTAGCCAAGGTTGGCCCTGTATACCTTAACTCAGTTTATTCATCACAAATTCAAAGCTATTTTTTAACAGTTTCAGAGAATGCCCATGACCTCCTTAACATTCCTTTTCCTTGTGAAAGCTACCTCATCCCCAGCTTGCCTCTTTGTCACACAGAAAAATTTCTGTTTCTTCCACTTAACCTGGCTACGACAACCTCCCTGTGTTCTCAAAAGGCTACAGAGATAGAGTACATTAAGCTTGAAGGCAAAGAATGTCCCCCTCCCATGGCCATGAGCCAAGTCCAGAGGGAGCCGCCATTACTAACTGTGCTGTCTACTGCTTCAAATTCACCCTCTTTACGAAGCTTTATTTAGATTGAATTGGCCCTTATGTTTTTGTTTTTGCTATGGGCTTCACTATCTTAGAGCCTGGCTTACCACCTGAGTTCCAAGAGTGAGAAATCTTTTCTCCGGGAGCAGTGTAGAAACTCAACACCTTGGCTATTTTATTATGTACCATTCACAAAGCATCCACAACATTTTGGGAAAAGGCACAAAGCACTCAATCGCGCTTGACTTTTAATCAACAGGTGCTACTGTTATCTTTCCAGTAGTAACACGCATACATAAGCCAGTAAATACCAGTGTTCTCCAGGAGGTACTTGAGGGAGCATTCGATGGCAAGAAAAAATCCATCCAGCAACATCTCATCAACATAGTTAACGTAAGTCTTCCAGATATTAGAGGTTGGGTCTGCTGCAAACAGACCTAGGTTTTCCTATATAATAAAGAAGAATGGATTTAAACCATGTTTAATAATATGGAAGGACTGGTCTAGTTATCATTGATGGGAAAAAAACAACACTAGGGCGGGGGCAGGGGAAGAATTCTTGTGAAAAGTTTGCTATTACGTATATATCGAGTCCGTTCTGTCTCATGGGCATAACCACTGAGTGAAAGGAACACGAAGTTAATCTGTGAAGGGAATATGGGGTCTCATCATGTCCCGGAGAAAGGAGGGTCAGGCCACTTTCCCAGGAAAAATGGGACACAGGGTGTGATTTATAAGTGCAGATGGACGTGCTATGGAAGAAGCTACATCAAGGCAGAAGTTAAAGCAGAGAGAGGAAGGGATTCTCTGGGTAGAGGGCTTTAGGATTCAAGGTGTAAGAAATTTGGGGTTCAAGCAAGTAAAGCATTTCCTGGCTAGTCCTCAGAAATGAGCTGGAGTGTTTTGTTTGGGGCATTTACTATTAAAAGCCATCATGCTGAGTGACTAAGAAAATGCATACACATAGGGCACCTGGGTGACTCAGTCGGTTAAGCGTCCACCTCTTGATTTCAGCTCTGGTCACAATCTCAAGGTGGTGAGATCGAACCCCATATTGGGCTCTGTGCTAGGCATGGAGCCTGCTTAAGATTCTTTCTCTCCCTCTCCCTCTGCCCCTCCCCCTCTTCTCTCCCTCTCTAAAGAGAGAGAAAAAAAAAGAAAATGCATACACATAAAGGGACACGTGTGTGTTCCCTCCTTCCACCCTCTCCCTCCTTCCCTCCCTGACCTGATGGCATGGCATACACATCCCGCTTACTCATCACCATTTTTATTATCAAGCCTTCTGATGTCAACTTTCCATTTATCTGAGATCTTCAAACAAACTGCTAACTACTTTGCAGAAAGTACATTGTGTAGGCGACACACACCCCCTTACAAACATTTCCATGTATAAACCCCCCTGGATTAAAAAAAAAACCCTCATGATCCTGTCTTTATGTGACAAAACTCTAAAATGTCTAAAATGCATTACATACCCCTTTCTTTCCAAAATAGATTTTCTTAATGACTTAAAGCCATCATCACACAAATCATAAGACACTGACAACATCAAGTTGCTCTCAGATGTTATTAAGTGTGTGTGTCTGTCTGCTTTATTTTTTAAAACGTTTCGTTTTTATGACTGCTTTGTATAGTTGTTCTATCTCCTCCCTAATGTCACACCATCAGTATAGTTGTTCTATCTCCTCCCTAATGTCACACCATCAGTATGGCTATCTCTACATTTCGAACTCTCACCTGAGCTCTACTATGGTCTAAGGAGCAAAAATGTTGGAATTTCTGTGAACTAAGAAAGAAATGACTCGAGTTTCTGATTCTAAGCGAGACAGAGGAATGAGACCAGACCTGCCCTTCCACTACATGTAACTACAGAACTGGATCTAATAAACAATTCTTTGGGGGCAACTAGAGAACAGGGATGTGATCCTTCAAAGAAGGGAAATCCTTAAGCTGAGCTTTGCAACCACCTGACTTTCTACTTAGAGGCACTTTCCAAACCATGGCTCAGGGATGTGGACTACAGTGACAGACATCCTTCCCCTGGGCAGAAAAAAAACAGCAATGGGGGTTTGGGGCTATGGAGATCGTGGAGTCTCCCTGAATCTTTGACTATGAAGCTGCACATCCTGAGGGCCAGTCTCGGTAAGGCTGGGCAGAGAACAGTTGTCATAAGCTGCACGGAGATCATGTGGTCATATGGTACTGGACAATGTTCGTGTTCTATCAGAAATAACAGAAGACCTTGAAGATAATGTAGGAATTCTGCTGAGTCCCCAGAAACACCATGCTTTGGGGGTTACGGTTGCCCTAGAGTAAGGCTTCTTTAAACCCATCCTCACAAAGCTTAACATTGAGCCTCAACAGGATCAAACTGACCCACTGGTAGGTTAAATGCCTGCCAAAGCAAACACACACAGTCTTTAAGGGAAATAATAACTACACTCTAAAGTGGCATCCAATATGATTAGAACTGAACAACAACAAAAAATTACTAGACATGCAAAGAAGCAGGAAAGCATGACATTTAACAGAGAGAGGAAATAATCACCAAGAACAGACTCAGCAAATAATTGCCATACCAATTCTGGAATGCCTCTTCCTCAGATTTATTTTATGTGAGAGAAAAATAAACTTCTGTCACATTAAAAAAAAAAAGACTCAGAAAATAAAATAGATGTTGGGATTAGCAGACAAGAGTGTCATAATTTGATTTAAAAACTCCTCAAAGTTGATGAAAAACAAGTTCGAGAAGCTCACAAACTCCGAGCTGGGTGAACGGAAAGCAAACCTATTTGGGCACATCACAGTGAGACAGGAAAAAAACAAAACAAAAAACAAAGATTAAAAAAAGAATCTATTAAAAGTGGCCTGAGAGAAACAATACATTACATATAAACAAAGACACAAATTACGGCTGGCTTCTCCTCAGAAACATTGGAGGGGAGGAGACAAGGAAATAATTTCTGTAAGACGAATAAAACTGTCTATGCAGAATTCTATATCCAATGAAACTATCCTTCAAAAACAAATGTGAAATAAGGACATGTCAGAGAAACAAAAACTGAGAGAATGTGTCATTGGCAGACTAGATCTGCAAGAAAAACTAAAGGGGGTTCTTCATTCTTTAGGCTGCAGAGAAAGGACCACAGGTGGGAGGTCCGTTTTCCAGAAAAGAAAAAAAACAAGTCTGGAAATGGTGAGTATGTGGGTGAATATAAAATACTATAAGTATTTTTTCTTGAGTTTTTATTTTTTTAATAGTTCTGAGAAATCAGAATACAAAAAAAAAGTTAATAAGAAGGTAGGAAAGGAAGAACAGAAAAACAAAACAGATGAAGGAAATAGGAAATGACAAGACGGTGAGCTAAATCCGATCATCCCAATAATTATGTTCAATGTAATAATCTAAACATTCCAGTTAATCAACAGAGTTGTTAGGAAAGTAAGTCCCTACTATACTGTCTTTAAGAGAAGAAATTCGAATCAAAGGAAACAAACAGGTTGAATGTAGAAGGGCAGGAAGACGGGTGGGGCAGAGTAGGAATGGTGAATATGGAAGGTAAGACTAGAGTATTAACAGGAAAAAAGAGACCTCAGGGCAAGGGAGTATTCTGAGAAATAAAAAGAGAGTTTCATAATAATAAAGTGGTCAATTCATCAGGAAGTTATAATAATTATAAATGTGTTTGTAGTAAAAGAGTATCAAGGGACACCCAGGTGACGCAGTCAGTTAGGCATCTGACTTGGTTTCAGCTCAGGTTGTGATCTCAGAGTCCTGAGATCCAGCCCCACATCAGGCTCCATGCTCAGTGCGGGGTCTGCTTAAGACCCTCCCCCCTCTCTACCTCTCCCCCCTAAAATAAATCAATCTTTTATTTATTTATTTTTATAAATAAATCTTTTAAAAAAGAACATCAAATACTGATGAAAACTCTGACTGCGCTAAAGGCTTAGACAATCATCCAGAGTCACAGGTGGAGATTTTAACACTCCACCACCAATAATTGGTAGAACGAATGGACAAAAAATTCAGAAACCATACAGAAGATCTGCACAATACTATCAACCACTTTGAACTAATTGATATTTATAGGACACTATACCCAAAAATGGAAGAATAAACGTACTGTCAAGTGTGCAAGGAACATGCAATAAGATGGACAGTTTTCTAGGTCATGGAACAAGTCTCAGTGAATTCCAAATGATTTTGATCTTAGAGAGTATTTTCTCTGACCACAACTGGACTGAACTGGATTTCAATTTCATGAAGCTATCCAGAGAAGCCCCCCAACACAGGGAAATGAAACAATGCACTTCTAAATGACCACGGAGTTAAAGAATGAGTCACAAGCAAAAAAAAAATTTAAGACTGAATGACAATGGAAATGAGGCACAGGAAATTTGTGGAATGGAACTAGAACACAGCTAATGGGGAAAATTATGTCAAATGCTTGTATTCAAAAAGAAGAAAGGCTTAAAATCTATACCCTAAGTTTCTGCCCTTGGAGGCTGGGGGAAAAAAAAGATGAGCATCATAACACTAAATTAAGAAAAGAAAAGATAAAGAACAAAGAACAGAAATTAATGAACTAGAAAACAGATAAATAAAATTAATAAAGTCTAAAGTACAACGTGTTACTTGCTTTGAAGCACAGATAATCCCAGATAGCAACTGTAATTTATTCCTGACTGTGGGCATGAGATCAATCGGCTAGAACTGGCCGTTGCAGGGCAGATGGAGTAGGGTTGAAGCCAGTCACCACTCAGAGCTCCCATCCATAGTTAAGTCTTCGATAGCAGACACGAGGTTGCCCTGATCACAAGGCAGGGAAGAGCCTTACTGCATGAAGTGTGGAAGCCTGCACTGTTTCTTCTCTTTACCAAAGACAGGTAGGGAGACCATGGTCATCTTTCATATCCTCGGGCTTATAGAGCTAGGTGTTGGAGATGCTGCTGGGGGTCCGCGTCAGGCTGTGCAGGCCAGTTGGGGCTGGTTAGTACAGAAGCTAATTTAGGGTTCTGTACCAGGCACGTCCTTCTATCTCCCTGGGGTTTGGCATGGGACTTAAGTCATGCCAATGTCTTTACTACCATTAAGAAAGTATTAATTTTGACACACTGATACCAGAATGTGTCTTTCCTCTCTGCCTGTTAGCTTTAGTTCTCTCGTTATCATTATAAACTTCCATCCCTGAATGCAGAAGACACAGCATCTGTTGACTGTTCTCATTTTCAAATCATTTCTTGCACCCAAACATGCTTGCCGATGCTCTCCCTCGGCTAGAGGTATGTGTTTCTGAGAGGCTGGTTATTACCTGAACAAGGGCATGAATCTTAAGTCCAGATTCTCTGATGAGATGGTAATATTTTTCCATCCGGTCATGCTGATCATCCATGGAAAGAATGCATTCCTTTTTTCCATCTTTTCTCTTAAATATTGGAGACACCCATGTTTTCATGATGTTTTGAATCTCTTCCACATTGTCTTTAGCTTTCTGAATTCTTTGTTCGAGATCATGAATGCTGTTGGTGATTTGAATGACATAATCCCAAATGCCTGTACCCCCAAAGAAACATAATTAATTGAAATAGCTAAGGCCTAGTTGCTATAAAAGGAAGGGATTTAATATTTGTAGGGTTTTTTTTTTTAAAGACTTTATGTATTCATTTGAGAGAGAGCGAGAGAGAATGAGTGAGGGCGGAGGCAGAGGGAGAAGCAGACTCCCTACAGAGCGGGGAGCCTGATGCGGGACTCGATCCCAGGACCTTGGGATCATGACCTGAGCTGAAGGCAGACGCTTAACCGACTGAGCCACCCAGGCATCCCTAATATTTGGTTTAAAAGGCTTTTTTGCACAGGTTACTTTGTTATCACCAGAGCCTTTTTCTTCTTAGTTGTGTTGAACAGCCAAAGCTTACCACAACCCTGATTATGGAGGGAAAGAAACAAAGAAGTAATGCTTACCAACCAAGCACACAAAAGTTGGCACAGTGGCTGGGACATACCCCAGTGCACCATGAGGATTTCGTTTGGGTTAATGGACCTTATTTTTTTTTAAGCACTTTTGCTTTATGAGATGTTGAAAATATTGTTCCCTCTTGCATATAAAATAAAGTTCAAACTCGCTTAATACGGTGTTCCAAGACTTCTGAGTTGACTGTAACTTTCTTTTGAAACTTGACCTCTTTTGAGGACTCTAAGGAGAATTAATCTCCCTCTCCTGTGATTCATCATGCTTTATTTTTAACTCTGTGATGGCTTTTTATCGTAGCCTGTTTTGCATGATTTATAGTTGTGCATATGTCCGTTGTCGCAACTAAATGTGAGCTCTTTGAGGGCAGGAACCACGTCCCATACACCTTATATCCCATATTACCCCCCCAACCCTCACACAGTACCCTGCAAATGTTAATCCACCCATGAAATTAGTACTGAATTGGAGGATACATGAGAATTAAATGCAGAGTACCCTCATTTAAGATGTCTACAGTCTAGGAGCATCTGGTGGCTCAGTCGGTTAAGCATCCGACTCTTGATCTTGGCTCAGGTCATGACCTCATGGGTCCTGGGATAGAGCCTCACACTAGGCTCCATGCTCAGCAGGGAGTCTGCTTGAGATTCTCTTCCTCTCCCTCTCTATCTCCCTCTACCCCTCCTCCCACTCGTGCTCTCTCTCTCAAATGAATGCATCTTTAAAAAAAAAAAAAGGTGTCTATAGTCTAGTGAAGAAAATTAAGTAACAGTGATAATGTAGTAAACGCTAACGTGCCCAATACATGCTGGAGACTATGGGAGGTGTCATGCAACCTCTGAGCCTCCCCCAGGACATGGTGGCAAGATTTTCTAAATCTACTAATCATACCCAAAGAGAAGGAAGACAAGACTAGCCCTTCTTGCCTTCTCTGCCTTGGATAGGTTCTGAGAGGGCAGGCTTGTGTTTCAAACACAAACCAGATTACTGTGGGGATCATTCATGGTTCTACCAACTTTATCAGGAGCTTGACCCCAACCTCCCCACCAGATTCCAGGCAGTGCCCCATTACCTTCTGTTTTCCAGTTCAGAGTCCCCTCTGCAGCTCTCAGGCAGAGATCGATATCCCTCAGCTCTTCCTCCACTAATGGAAATTCCACCTCTGCAAGAGTCTTCACCACCTTGTTGTACCAATTTGCCATCAGCTCCAACTTAGCCACAAGCTGCCGATAGAATTCCCTGGAGGAGAACATGGCGGCTGCTGTCTCAGGAATGCGCTGCATCTGCCTGGGCTCAAGATAACTCATTTCCTTCAGCACCGAAAGCAGCTGGAGAAGAGAATCGGCATTAAGTGGCTGTAGCTCCGTGGCAGGGAAAAGCAGCAGTTATCAGTCAAGGCCTGGAAAACCCCAGGGCCCCAAAGACCTTCTGGGTCCCTTCTCAACTATTGCTCCTACCTGTTCCTTAAACCTAGAGAAAGGAAATTGAGTTTTAGGCAGAAGGAAGAGGACTCAGAGGCAGAAAGTCTTACCACGTCTGTAAGTCCCAAAGAGCAACAAAAGAAAAACTCAAGAAAGGTGGCATGAGTGACAGGAGAGGTCTGCCTTGATGCTTTTGGGCATGTGGCTGACTGAGCCAGTTAATTCCCATGGAGGGGCAATGGTGTAAGGGAGGGGAATCACCAGGTCTACACTAGCCACATGCCTGAGAAGCCTCAAATTCAGACTTCTGGTATTCTCTCCAATCGGGTCACACACACAGTCACAGACACGGACAGAATTGAGAGGAGATGCCCATTGCACAACTTTAGTTGCTAGATATAATCATTTGAAATAGCCCTTCATTTCTAGAAGCCTGTGTTGGCATGTCTTTGGGTTTTAGTTTTTATTTATTTATTTATTTTTTAAGCTATTCATCTTTTAAATTCTGTAGGTGGCAGACGTGCTCCCTGGTGTCGTATGGTAGAGAAGCTGACGCCGTGGATTTGTGAACAATCCTCCACAACTCTCATGATGGTTTTCCTTCTGTTTCTGTGCGATTGTTACACTTGTGCAGAACTCTGTCACAGTCTGTATGATATCCTGCAGCATCATTTTTGTATTCCCTGCTCTCCATCCCCACTGGTTCACGAGCTCTTCAAATGCAGGAATGCGTGCGGTCTTTGGTATTCTTCTTTAAATTTTTTATTGTTATGTTAATCACCATACATGACATCATTAGTTTTTGATCAGTGTTCCATGATACATTGTTTGTACATAACACCCAGTGCTCCACGCAGAACGTGCCCTCTTTAATACCCATCACCAGGCTAACCCATCCCCCCAACCCCCT